CTTATTATCTCTAGGGATCAGACTAGAGAATTATGAGAGGAAACTTGTTTTTCACTTTATGTTTATTATTATTGTTTAGTCTGAATATTTTCACTCATGGGCATAATTTACATTTAAATTAAAAATGAATTTAAAAAATATGTAATCAATTCAGCAAAGTTGGGTAAAATATCTCCCTTGTCCCAAGTCATTTGTTTCAGTCAAGGTGCTTAGTTACTGACAATAAAATCCTCTCTTGTCAGTTTGAACAGAAAGAATTTATGATAAGCTACTGTATAAACCACAGAATCCTTGGGAGGGCTGAAGCACTGAGTCCTAGACCAGACTTCTAGGAACAATCCCAGAGCTGAACAATTGTGATGAGGGAGCCATTTTTCTCAATCCCATCCCAAATCCACAGTGCCTCTGCAACTCATGAGGCTCAGTCTTGTGGAACTCATTCAAACCAAGTCATACTCAAGTAAATCTAGCCTATGGGAGCGAGGGAGACCAGAAAATACAAGGAGAAAAAGTAAAGTCATCTTTGAGAAAGCAGAATGCACAATGTGAAAAATACCAAACTGTGGAGAGATGTTTGAAAGATGGAGCAATTGTAAAGGACAGACACCTACTTCAAAGTCTGTAGGTTCCCTCACTGGGATCCTATTCAACTGAACACATTTTATCAGGGGAAAAACCTATTCTAATAATAGTGGGCTTGTGTCAGATAGAAAATGAATAATAGCAGTGGTCTGGACTATCCCTTAGTTCATCATTGACCAATAAAATATGGACAACATTTCTGGCAGAAATAACTAGAATTTAAGAGTTCACTGAAACCCAAGCGAATTCTAGATTAGATGGTTTCCCTCTGATTACTAGGATAGCAGTTATTGCTACCATTTCAATGAGGCTCATTGTACAATTAGGTACCAGGGGTTTTATTCATAAAATGTGTGATGGTTAATTTTATGTGTGAACCTAACTGGGCTAAGGGATGCCCAGATCACAGGTAAAACAACATTTCACAGTGTGTGGCGAGGTTGTTTCCCAAAGAGACTCTCATTTTAATCAGTAGACTAAGTGAAGATCATCCTCACCAAAGTGGGAGGCAACATCCAATCCTTCTGAGGATGTGAATAGAACAAAAAGGCAGAGGGAGGGCAAATTCTCTCTTCCTTAGCTGAGACATATGTCTACCTCTGCCTCAGATATCAGAGATCCTAGTTCTCTGACCTTTGGACTCAGATTAGGGCTGATACCATTGGCTCCCCTGGTTCCCAGGTCATCCAACTTGGACTAAATTGTAATATCAGCTTTCCTGGTTCACCCATTTGTATACAGTATGTAGTAGGACTTCTCACTAAATCATGTGAGCCCATTCCCATAGTAAACCTCCTCATTTATCTATACAGATACTATAGGTTTGTTTCTCTGGAGAACCCTAACACTAAAAGAAAAGAAATACTGCTTTAATAAATATTACCACAGCCACCATCCCTACACTCTAGCACATTAGTATGTGTTCACCGAGAGCAGACAGGACTAGTGGGAGGGAGGTAGAAACAAAATATTTATTTCAAGAAGTTCGCTTGTGCAGTTGTGGGGGTTCACGAAGTCAATATGAAGTCCACAGGGCAAGCCATCAGGAGAGCAGCCTGGGATTCCTGGGCATGCACTGAAGCTACCTCCACAGGCAGAATTTTTTCCTTAGGGGGCCTCAGCTCTACTCTTTCAAATCATTGAGTCAGGCCTACCCTCCCTTACAAAGTCAACTGATTATGGACATTAATCACATCTGTTAAAATAACTCTATAGCAACATCTGTTCTAAAGCTTGAATCACTGGGAATTATAGCCAAGCTAACAATTAAAACTTGACTTTCATACCTATCTACTACCAACTATCTAGAAAAAGATAGGGGACATTTTATTTTAGAAAGAAATTTTAATCAATTTCTTTAGTCATGAAAATAAGCTGTAAACTAGAGGGAATTCCATGGACACAAGAAAGCTTTGCATTTGTATAATTCACCCAATCCATTCATTCAACAAATAGTAAATAGTAAGGACCTTAAAGTATGTCATCATTCTTGGTGACATATTAGGACATAAAACAGATCCAAATTCGTCCCCTTGTGAAATGTATGGTTTTTGTATAATAGAGTGGTGGCAATTTTCAATTCGAATTTTCTTTTAGGACAGGATCTAAGAAAAAAAGCTGAGGAAGGCAGAGTTGGGAAGAGGATCGGTCCCAACATAGATGTAGGTTGGAATCAAGAAAACAGTGACCAGTGAGAAATCTCACTATGCTGTTCCCAGATGGATATTAAAACCATGATATCTAGTAAGTCCCCTTTCTTACTCTGTTGTATTATCCTTCATTATTCCCAAAGTATCTATTAAAGTTAGTGGCTAAACCAGCCTCCAATGACTAAAGTGTGGTAGAACCTCCTCCTAGTGCAAGATGCATATGGCAGCCATGGGAAACAAGTGGGTTGGCCAGGGTTAGAGGAAGGGGTTCAGTATTCAACAAAGACAGCCCATTCGACAGGGCTCTCCAAAGAAACAGCCAGTAGGAGATGTGCATTTATCTGTGTGTGTGTGTGTGTGTGTGTGTGTGTGTGTGAGAGAGAGAGAGAGAGAGAGAGAGAGAGAGAGAGAGAGAGAGAGAGAGAGAGAGAGA